TAAATTCAAACTCAAACGAAGTTGATCAATTCAGAAAAATTCGTAGTAAAACCCTCAAATCTTGATACTTAGTCTTAGATATCGTTCTACAGTGTTTTTTAACTTAAGTGCTTTATAAATTTCATATTTTTAGTTCTCTTAATTAGTATTAATCTTGAGGTCCTTTTCGAAAACCACATGTACGTGAAAAAGTTTCCTCAATAAAGATTATTATTATTATTAGTGGAACCCCGTTAATCCAGTCACCAATTAACGAGCCACAAAAATCTGCCCGTATTAACGGAGTGACCGTATTCTGGGGGTTCTTTAAATAAGACAACGACTGACTGGGCTTAAGTTCGGGCCAGAATAAAGCGGCCGTAATAACGAGGTGACACGGCTGTAACAACGAGGTGACCAGGCCGCATTAACGAGGTGACCGTATCAAACGGGCTGGCCGTGAGACGAGGGTTCCACTGTAGATATTGTGCCTAATCTGTCTTATAACAACTTGATAGGAAATCAGTCGTGACTGAAAACAGGACTTGTTTGAAGATTATCATGCCATGAATGTAGACAAGCCTATATGGGTCATCCCTTTTTATATAATAATCAAATCAATGCGCGCGCTGTGATTGGTCAATCAGCTATGGTTTATTGTGCCAGTAAACTCATGGAAATTTGGTGTGTCTTCTGAATTATTATATAAAAGCAATAGACCACAAGTTTCTATGGTTTATAGGCTGATAAACCACTTGGGATGTTGGGAGAACACTCGAGGAATTCGTAAATCACTCGCCTGCGGTTCGTGATTTACGAATTCTACTCGTGTTCTTCCAACATCCCGCGTAGTTTATCAGCCTATAAACCATAGAAACTTGTGGTCTATTGCTTAACTAACGTCTTGTCCGAGTCACTATACCCTTTGGTTTTTGAAGGGCCTAGAACCCGGCGGGGTAACCATAGATGGCCGAAGCTTAAGTATCGACGACCTCTTTTCTTCAAAACCTTTCCTAGAGACTCTGGTAAGCCTTTGTTAGGAGCAGTTAATTGTGTTTCAAAAAGTCAAAGTAGCATTCTTTTAGATTAAAATCGCTTTAACAAACCATGCATGAGTATTTATGACAGAGACGCCTTTACATGGTCAGCTTAACCCTTTGAGCCCAGTTACGCATATATATGCGTAATTAATGGTTGTGCTCTTTGTACTACTTGTGACGTCATCAATTTAAATGTCATCAGATATTCTTGATAAGCAGTAGAGCTAGGATGGACCTTTCCGTACAACGGTCGATTTTGATATCGACGACATTCTGACGTAGCAAATTGAACAACAACGTTATCAGTATTGGTGGAAAAATGCTGGTAAAATGGTCCACTATGCCTATATTTGATTAAGGTCCAAATTTTGGCTTATGCACATGCAACGAAATGAAATATCGCACAATTTTGTACCTAATCTTCGGGAAATCTATCTTTTGGTTAAACATAACTGTTTTTTTAGCAGACTTAGGCCCATTTAGCGTCACGGCAGCCAAAAAGCCTGATTAAACGGTTAAAAACGGTATTTTTTGGTGAAAATTTGGTCCCCAAAGGGTTAACTGTGGATGCCCCACCGAAAGAAAGACTCTATCCGGCTGAACGTTTGAAAGAAATAATTTTATGATATTGCATTTTCCATGGTATTCGCCGGAATTCTGTTTTACCACAGATCTTGTCATGATATATGTGTAAGATGTTGCAAACTTGGAATGTCTAGTTCATTTGAAGGCAACAAGACAAACATTAAAATGCAGGCGCTCAAATTTTTCCATGGGCCATCAGTTTGTTACAGTAGCCGGCGGGGTGCTACACGGAACGATCCGGGGAACACAATGTTAAAACACAATCGCACAAAGATTAATAGAGCAAGAGAGCGAATGGCTTACTTATCTGTCCTGCGCCAAAAACAACAATGGCTTGTAGAAATAACAGTGGTA